CAAATTGCTTAAGGACAGGTACTTTCCCTATTCTTCTATTGTGCATGCCTATAGAACACTGGGTGGTTCGTGGATGTGGAATTGTTGGATGGACATGATGCCTTTGTTTGCTAACTGGCTTAAGATTGAAGTCAGAAATAGGGCCAATACCAGAATAGCTGATTTGAACTGGGTTCCAAACCTGAATAAGCCAACCCCTAACCTTATTCCCATTACAAAGGATCATCTAATTTGGGTTAGGGAGCTTCTGCACAGTGATGGTTTCCATTGGAATGAATGGCTAGTCCAGCAGGTTTTCAAGACCTCAGACAGTCAAGCCATTTTAAAAATTTCTTCCCTTCATCCCCACAGAACTGACAGGATTTATTGGGGGCTTGAGCAAAAAGGGCAGTTTTATGTTTCTGGGACCTATAAATATCTTTGCAAGATCAAAGCCTTGAAGGCATACTTACCTGAGAGAAACAGTAATAAGGAGATCAAGAAAGCCACCAGATTAAGGCTCAGGAAATTGAAAACAACATCAAAGATTAAGCATTTTCTTTGGAAATGCATTACAGGTACCCTCCCAGTAGCTGTCCATCTGAAGAAAAGAAGAATGGATATTGATACCACTTGCTCTGTGTGTGGAGAAGTAGCAGAGACTGTTGAGCACATCCTTTTTAATTGCAGAAGAGCAGTCACAGTTTGGAAATTGAGTCCTTTGAACTGGGATGGGTTACCAAGCTGCACAGATTCCTTTAAGACTTGGTGGTATCAAATTTGTTCTCTTGACAACTCTGAAGTTGCTGAAGCTAGGATCCATCTCACTACATATATGCTTTGGTGGCTTTGGAAGTCGAGGAACCTGTGGATTTTTCAAAAGTCTTTAATCCCGGAGCATAAACTTCCTCAGATTGCTCATTCAGATTGATTGGAATTTTTAGAGGCTGCCTCCCTTGTTTGATTTGCTTTTTTCTTTTCCTTTTGCTTTTGTTTTCTTGGTTCAAGTTTGATCTCTTGCTAGGCGTTTAGCAGTGGCGGGGATTTAGCTCTTTCTGTTTCTTTCTCAGGATTTTCGATTTGTAGAGGTTCTAGACCGCTTATTGCGGATCTCTCAGTTTGTTGTTTCGATTTGTAGACTCTTGTATTCGAACTATGTTCGCTTTGAGTTAATATAGTTTGCTCTGTCGTTTTGGGAAAAAATAAAATAAAAAAAAAATCAACGTGTCTTTCCGAAATTTTTCAATTTGTTTATTTGTTTTAATTTTTATTTATTTAATTTATAATTGTTTTACATCGTTTTGAAAAGAATCCTAGCATTTTTTGAATATTTTGATGTAATTGTTCTTTTTGGCTTTTTTATACATATACCGTAACTAAGGCTAAATATATTCATCTTTATATACTTGTAAAACTTATTTGCAGATTTACGAAAGATTGAGTAAATAATTAGGGTTACACTCAAAAAAAACTAGGCAGCAAATAAAAAAAATAGTGTTCCTTATCAGAGCATCTCCAATAGTATATGGATTACTCTATTTCATTGCCACGTAAATAAAAAAATCTAATGTGGTATTTAAAAAACATAGAAGTATTTCTGCATCAAAAAAGATTTATAGACATCTTATCTTATATATTATATTATTTATTTTATATTTCTCTCTCCACCAACCAATTATTATCTTACATGTGTTCAATTATTTCACAATTGACTTTAACAATTGGAGACAAAATAATTTTATTCCCTTTCCCCACACCATTCATCTCAGAATAGATATTGAACCATTGGAGATGCTCTTAGCCCACTCTTCAAGCCCAACTTAACAAGAAACTTAGTGTTCTTCATAGCAGTCGTCACTGACGCTTGTCGGTCGAAAACTTATGCCTTGGGCAAATTTTACCCATCAATTCTCACATGTGGTGGTGTTTGAAAACATTAACACCCACCGGCACCTCAGGTGGGGCAAGTTAGATTCTTCTTCTTCCTCACGTTGACCCAACTTCTCTTGCCTCTCCCAAACCTTCTTCTCGTCCTCACTATCGCATCTGCAGTCTCGACCGCGGAGGAGCAAATCTCGCACACCAGGACCTTGTGGCTGCCGAAGTCAGAGTTGGGGCGCCGTGCAATTGTGCCATCGAATTATTTGTATGTATATGTTTGTATACGGGCATCGATTAGAACTGGATCTGGTTCAAAACTAAACCTTGCCCCAATAATTGTATGTATATGTATATATACCGTATATATATATAAATATTTTAGGCAATTGAATTAGTACTAATAAAATATTTTGAAAGTATATATATAATATTTTATGATTTATTGCTTAACAGGGTAATTAGTCCTTTTTTATAGCTCATTTGCACATAGACTGCACTGATTCTCAAAATACTAGAAAAACACTAGATTGAAAAATTATTTGCACATCTACATAACTGAACATATATATTTGGACATTTACTTAATCCCCAATCCCTAATCATGTACATCACCAAATCCAAATCTCTGCACATCGTAAAACCCAAACTGATATCACCGCCTCCCTCATTCGAAAAGCTTCTGGCCGAGTACGACGGTCCATGGCTGCGCGCAAAGGAGTTTCAGGGTCGAGTGCCACAGTTCCACAAAAGCTCCTAGTTGTCGCTTGATGCGCGGGATGCAGGTGATTTTGTTTGAAAGGGCGGGATGTCGTCGGACTCCATCTCGCCGGTCGCGCGTTGCACGAAGGAGGAGCGAAATTGCTGAAGATGTACGACGTCGTCGTACTTGTCTGAAGGTGCGAGGGTGGTTGTGTGCTGCTCACAAGTCATCGGATAAAACTTGGGCTAAACATGAAGTGACACGAGAGATGTACAAGGAAGAAGATGAACAATCAGATATGAAATTTTGTCCCAGATTGGCTGCCGCTATCTATGTTTATTTCGTGTATATATTTCGTATATGTGCAATTATAATTGCGTTTGGTCGTTGCGTGTCGGATAAAACTCGGGCTCAACGTAAAAGGACACGGGAGATGCACAAGGGAGAATATGAACAGTCGGATTTGAGATTTTGTCCCAGGTTTGTTGCTACTGTCGATGTTTATTTCGCGTATACATTTCGTATATATGCATTTATAATCGTGTTTGGTCGTTGTGTGCTGGATAAAACTCGGGCTGAACGTGATGTGACACAGGAGATGCACAAGGAAGAAGATGAACAATCAGATCTGAGATTTTGTCCCTGATTAGTTGCCACTGTCAATGTTTATTTCGTTTATATATTTCATGTATATACAAGAAAAAAAATCAATTTTGTGTATATTCCGTGTATATATAAATAAAATGAAGATGTGTGATACTTTTGTTAATAAAATATTAATTTCGTACATATGCAATTACAATGGTCTTTTATTGTTGCGTGAGTACTTCTCTCATTGTTTATTACTTGTGTCATTTAGCTCGTTGACAACGTGGGCATAGAAGTTAATCAGTGAACGCGTTATTGGGCTCAACGGGTTAGGTTCGTCGCAGTAAGTCTCACAGGCCCAGGTCAGGATAACGTATGAATTACATTATTTGTATATTAATTAGCAATAGAGGATATATGTATCGCTGGAGCCTTGAAGTTGAACACCCCTTTTGATTTGACGCCACAACTTTATTCTAAACTACACATGGCTAAGGGCTGCTCGGCCCGCCGACCCGACACGGATCCGGCCTGGTCAAACCCGTTGACCACGAGTTCCGGACAAGACCGAATTTTCGACGGGCCGTGTTAGGGTTATCCATTTCATGGCCCGGCTCGACGGGCTCGGGCCGGGCCGGGTCGATGACCCGTTTTTCTATTTTTTTATTTTTTTTTATTGTTTGTTTTTTTAAAAATGATGGACCCGGCCTAGACACGACCCGGTACGGATCCGGGCCCGACCAAGCGGGCCTTTGACCCGGTACGAGTATAGGTCCGTGCTGGGTCCGGGTCATTGTTTTCTACTCTGAACCGACACCAAAAGACCCGGCCCGGACACGACCCGGACACGACCGGGTACGGATCCGAGCCCGACCAATCGGGCCCTTGACCCGGCACGAGTATAGGTCCGTGCTGGGTCCGGGTCATTGTTTTCTACTCTGAACCGACACCAAAAGACCCGGCC